AAGCTAAATGCCCAGTATGCAAAGAGGTACATACACATCGAGGTATATGGGGCGATTGGAGCTGTCTCGGTAAAAATAATCACTATTTTCTTAATTGCCCATTTTGTATTGATCAAAAGAAAGTTATAGTTGCAATACAGAGTTCACAGGAAAGTGTGTCAAACAAACCTCGAGAGGTAGAACCTCGTTACTCTCATGACTCACCAATTTATCCAAACAAAACCCACCTTTATCAGTATGCCATCAAACATGGAATAAATCCCAAAGAATTTTCGATTATTACAGATGCTGAGAGAAATAGGTGGGCTATGGGTTGTTTTTCTGCCGACTTGGAAAGAGATATATGCTTCTATCGTGGAGGAATAAAAAGGAAGGAAGATATTAGAAAATATCATCAATTTTTAACAGATCAGGATAGGCTGGTTGGTGAAGAATTATTACGTCGTGGTATACTAAAAAGTGGTTTGAGTACTGCATGGCTCGATAATCTTATAGAAGAATAGAAAAAAATCCATACTCAATTCATACAAATTTTTAGCTAGGCCTAACCAAAAAATTTTGCCAATAATCCTATCATTTCTAATAAAAAGTATTATAAATAAGTTTACACCATATAGCTATATCTCCATATACGTTTAAATTCTGGCCAATTTACACAATCACGTAAAAATAAAAAATGGCGAGACCACGGGATCCCTCTTTATTTCATAAAAAATAATATTGCCAGAACAATATACAAATATGAAAATTTTTTAAAAATATAAATATATATCGCTTTACATGATGCGAATAAAAAAGAAAATAAATAAAATTTAATTATTTACTAAAAAAATACTCTTGAAGACCTCAAAAAGCCCCTTGCTCTTTTTTTTGTTTTAACTTAAAAATTCATTTACTATCCACAGATAATTCATAGTTATTTATTCAAGTTACAAGATAGCTTTTTCTATCCTTGACACGTACAGGTTCTATTTTTTCTTTAGCCGTCGCATTTATAAAAACTACCTCCATTGACTTATCCGGATTATCATTTTTATATACAAGAAAAACTATCGCGATATCACTATTTATTTCTTCGATCATTACTTGGATGTTCTTGTAACTAGTATCAAAGACTTTTGTTTCTCTTCTCACGTATGAAAAAACATATTCAGACATCACGACTGTTAAGAAAAGCAAGACTATTAATACATGAACTTGTGAGTATTTTTTGACTCAGCCTGGCAAAGA